TCTCTTGTCTACCAGAAAGGTTGTACTGACAATAACGTATGTGATTTTTGTTTTTCTTATGTGTTCATTGTACCATTAATATTTTTAATATTTAATTTGATAAGGGGAAATATCTTTTTTGGCCTTCTATTAATATGAAATATATAAAAATTTTTATTATTTTAATTTGTATTTGCAAATGAGATTGAATATATTTTCATATTTATTAATCTTTTTTTCTCTGATTTCCTGATTATGACCTTTCTCTGTTTCTTTTATGGAGTGAATTTTCTTACTTATCCTAGAATAGAAAAAAACTATTCCCATCATGTGGAACTAGTTTTTATATAGCCCATTTTGGTTAATAATGACCTTTTTTCTCCCTTGATATTAGTCTTCTTACATAATTACTATTGATAGTTTATTATTTCATTTTATGCTTATCATTTTTCATTTGAGGGTTTATTATTTGTTTTGAAACATCTGAAATAGTTTTCTTGTCTTAGTTTTGTAACATTTTATATAATTTTGAATGTCTAAAATTCTAAAATACACAATCCTCACATACTTGGTTATTTGCTTCTGTTTGGAGCTATATGATTGTCATAGTACTCTTAATTACTGTATTTGCTGTAGGCATTTCTGGGTGAAGAGCAAGAAAATATCTCAAGTATTTGTACTTATTAGGAGATATAGACAAAATGGTCTTTATATTTTACAACTAAACCAGAATTTTCAGGGAGTCATTTTAACCCCCAAATTTAAATATTTATTTATAGAAATGAGAGATTTATTAATGGTTTTAAACTTTATCTCTGGAGAATTTTTCAAGTTTATTTTACATGAACTTCACTTTCAAAACCCCTTCAAATCAAAGGATTCTAAGTTTAGATTTGGCTTCTAGGGGGTGTACCACATAGAAGAAAATATTATGAAAAGACTTAAATAATACTACTAGTGATAAAACTGCGTAAGATTTTTTTTCTTTTTTTGGTGAGGAAGATTGTCCCTGAGCTAACATCTGTTGCCAGTCTTCTTCTGTTTGCTTGAGGAAGATTGTCCCTGAGCTAACATCTTTGCCAGTCTTCCTCTATTTTTTGTATGTGGGACGCCACCACAGCATGGCTTGATAAGTGGTGTATAGGATCCGACCCTGGGAACCCCGGGTCACCAAAGCAGAGTGCACGAACTTAACCACTATGCCACCAGGCCGGCCCCTGCATAAGATATTTTTAATGTCTTTTTTTAGTATATGAGAAAGTTAAAGACATTTATGATTCTACCAGATGATCCAAATTCTTGCATTTAGCAAGAATTGATGGTCTCTGATGGTTTGTGTTTGTTTATTTGTGTTTGTAGGCCTTTGAGTTTCTGCCAGAAAAATAATGGGACGTTTCCAGTTTGACTCTATGATTTTTGCAGATTAGCATAGAGCAACTTACAGTACTTGTAATTATCAAGTCACGTTTGGTTTATTTTAAATAATGGAAAGTTGCTTTTGTTAAATGTTTTTGTTACATAATACTAGCAACAGTTTTGATCACTTTTAATGCTCGAATATTTCTCTTTTAAAGGAAGTAAATATTTCTCATTCTATAGAACAGGGAAAAGATTGCACAATTTTATGGACTTCAGTTCATTTTTGGAGAAGATCATAATTTCAGTTCCCACATCTTTCTGATTTTCTGATTTCAATGAGTTGTCATTCATGTAATCGAATATTTTTTAATTAAAATTCTTCCTACATTTCTTTCCTTCAAAGTAACTTTGACTTTTCAAATGTAAAATATTTGCATGTTTTTGGTACTTAGTTTTTTACAATTGTTGAATCAATGAACAAATACTTTTGTTTCTAACATATCTACCATCTACCTGTAAATGGCGTTTTAAAGCAATCTTTTAAAAGTTTAAGTTATATATAATATTACATTTTATTTTCAGGCCTATTAAGAAATGAAAAATGGCCGCATAGAAAAGAAAATAATATTGTTTCATTGTTAGCTGAATTACAGTGCATATTGCAATTTAACTATGGCTTCACGGAATGAATTTTCTCTTACATATAAATACGTGGTTGAAGAGTCAAAATTTCAAACAGTAAGAACTTGCATTAATATTGTCAGTGACAAAATAGAATATATTCTATCTGGTGTTGCCAATTTAAAAAGAAAACTTGTGAAAATTCTGAATTACTATCTGATAATTTATAATCACTTTTGTTATTTGCCTTACAAATGGCAGTCAGTTTACAAATCAATCCATGTAGGGATTTTTTCAAGAATCCATCTTGGATCATTTAAAAATAAAGTCATCTACTTGTAACTCAATTAGAAAAATATATACACACACAGAGAAAGAGAGAAAATTAGACTGAAAGTAGCACAGGCAAAAAGTTCACCTTCTACATAGTTGTTAACATTTATCAAATTTTATCAATCGTGATAATGTAGCTCAGTCATCAAAGAAATGGAAATGAATAGAAAGCTAAAGTTGGAACAGGGGCTAACATGAAAGAAATGGAAGAATAAGTATCATATTCATGGATGAGAATTATATTCAGTCTTATCACCAAGAAAGATTCATTGGTTTAAAGCAGTGGTCAGTAATCTTTTCTATATGAGGGCCAATTTCTACATTAATGAAAAGATTATAGAGTTGCATTTATTTTCAGTTATTTGTTTTTGAAAATATGCTTTTTGGGTCAGAAAATATTATATCTTCAGTATGATTAAGTGTTCTTTTATTGCATATTCATCTGCGTAGATTCTTCTTTTGGCTGAAATTTCAGAAACTAGATAAAACCTATGACTATGTATGATATGATTATAATGGTGCTTTTGAATGAATTTTGTTCTTGAACAAAACACTTTCTCTTTATTTAGTCTTATCTCAATTGTTTTTCTAAGCTACTTAATGGTAAAATACTGTTTCACTTTCTCTTAACATTTTGTATTTTAAATATATAAATAAATTTAATTAAATATACTTATAATAAGTATAATAATAATAATAATATACTTATATAAGTATATCTAAATTAAATATATAAATATTTAATATTATCTATTTTAAAACAAAAAGTTTTATTTCAATTGCAAATGAAAAGCTTTTCTACAAACGAGCACTCCTTGGACCACTCTGAAATAATGTTAGCTTTGTTGTTCACTTATATATATATTATTTGGCAGCAACTATTCTGAGAATTGAAATTTTATATGAAAAATATTTACCCCAGTCATACTACATGTTTACTGCCCCATTATTTTTCCTATTTCTGAGGCTGTCAGTGTGAACTCATAACCAACTGACTGATTCTCTCCATCTGTCAGATCTTGTCTGTTGCCAAAGGGGTAGATCAGCATGAGGTTACAGGGAACAGAGATGTGCTGGGTGTAGGCAGGCTCTCTCTGGGCCTCTCCTTTCTCATCTATAACATGAGAGAAGTGTTGAAATTTGACTACAGATAATTTGAAATTTAGTGGATTGTCATTTGGCCTGGATGCTTCTGGTTGCTCATAACTGGTAACTGACCTAGAGTGAGACATTAAATTACAATTAAAGCAATTAATGCCTATAAATGAGTGAAAATATTTTAATTTTTTTTATTTTCACATGGTGTTTCACAGCCAAGATCAAAATAATATGCATAACCAGGGCATAAAGCCTAACATAATATCAGCTTTAAAAAAAAAAAAAACTCTAATCTCTAAATTGAGTTTTGTAATAGATTCCATAATTGTTTCCCACTTTATACCAGGGATTGATTAAGCCATGACATAAATTTAGATATGATATGTCTTATTTGATACATTTTTTTGAAGTAAAATTCCTTTAAGTTAGACTTTCCTGGAAATCGTCTCTACTTTGATGACTTTTTAATTATGTAAATGACTGCAAATAAGATACATAACTTTGTTTTCAAGACAGAGATAGAAAAAATGTGACTTAAACATTAAGAATTGGTGTTCGTAATATGTGCAGTGGAAAGCATTCTGTTATGATTTACATTTTAATGCTGAGAAATTTTCATTTTTGTTTGTTGTAGCATTATGTTCCAATATGGGCTTCAACTAGGGTACCAAATTATAGATCCTTTTGGATATGTATTTCCAAATTTAATATTTGTTTAAAATGTTACAAATGGAGGTGGGAGGATAGAGAGTGAATGGTAGAGACATAGATGTAGCAATAGCACAACTGTGTATATCTCCTTTCTTTCATTTTTCTTACATTACTGACTGTGTTTGTTTTGTTTTTGTTTGGTTTCATAAAGAGTCTAAGTATTTGGAAAGGTGTGGGACCATGTCCTATTGGAGATTTCAGTATTTGCTTACGAGAGAAGAAAATATCATTTTTTGGGAATGTGACTTCAGAAATTTGCCTTTGGAGTTTTCCTGTAAATTATACTAGGAATTTCCAAATAACACAGCAAGAGTTTATAGTACTTTTCCAGATGGTGATTGTTAAGCAATAATTGGAAGCTGTAGGGAAAAAAACAGTATTTTGCATAGAGTAAGCATTTATTCAATATTGGTTAAACTGAAGAACATTTTACTAGATATACTAAGTACTATTCTCATAATTCAGAGAAAAAAACATACCACTTTAACTCTCCTTAGGCCAAAAAAAAAAAGAGAACTTACCAATTCTGAGGTGCAAAACTAATGAATTCAGTCAAGCTTTTGCTCATTTTGCATTGTCATTATCAGTTTATTACATTTGAGAAAGAATGATGGAGGTGAAAGTGAACAGGGCAGAGTTGCTTCTCACTAGGTCTATGACTTACCCACACCCTAGCCTCTCCAATAGAATAGGCTACAAGGGACCAGCTTGATTTACTTGTCAAGTAAAGTTCGTATTCATCTTAATTGAGTTCATTTTATTTATTAGGTAAAAGTAGTGTTTACTGCATCAAGATTATGTGTAGCCATCTTATTTGGACTATTCAGTTTGCAATTGTAAACTTGGTGGCAGGTTTCTTAAATATCTGTGTGTTGTTGTTGTTGTTCATTTTTTTAAAGAGATTTCCCAAAGTTGCAGATGGCTGGCTCATCTCCAAATACCTCTTCAAGGTACTCTATGCTGGTGATGTCTCCCGCCACTGAGCTGCACGGGAGCATGGAATTGACTTACTGGGGAGGGCTGTATCAGTTAAGTGATCTTTTTTAGTACACTGCATGGGTTTTGCACAGCTTTCTGTTTTTGTTTTTGCTAATCTAGAAGGCACAAGAATGCTTATGCTAATTTTTAAATTAAAATCTTGTAAACCCACACAAAAATCTATTTACTCTCCCTCTCCCATGTAACTCCCTTCATGTTTCTATTAAGTTCTGTGGTTTTAAGCACTATTTTATTAATCATGCATATCTGTGTTATTTAAATTTTATTATAACTCTTAATGATATAAGATTTATTGGTTATTTCCTCAATTTTGTAAGTACTGTGTAATAATATTTGTCTTACATGCAAACTGGAGCCTCAGGAAAGCTGTGTGAATTTTCCGAAGTCACTCAGTAAAACATACCTGGGTGCTATCAACAATAACTGCTTTGCCATTCGTAAACCATTAGTGGGATATATTCCTTAGTTTCCTTTCTCCCAGGTAGAATCATTCCTTATTCATTTATTCAGAACTTTTTTACTGATTTCCTGCTGTAGGCAAAACACTGCTAGGCCTCTGTACTTATGACCTAGCCTTTTATTATATTTTTTAATTAGAAAAGAAATACATAGTCATTATTCTTAAAGATTACAGTAAGACAAAGGATAGAAAGTAGAAAATGAATGTCTTCTCATTTCCTCAATCCTAATTCCCACAAGTAATCATTTTTAAACAATTTCTTTTGTTTTATGTTCCCTATGTATAGCTTCAATCACTACTGAAACAAATTATGCTTGATTTCTTCAGGACTACACTTTTATGTGTAGTTCTCTGTATGGACTTCTGCCTTAAGAACTCTAATTCAATCTGCCAGTATTCTAAATCTTATGTTAAAAACACTGGTGGAAGAAAGAAACAAAACCTGTGTACTCAACTTGGAATGATGGTAAAATTACTGGGATAAAAAAGGCTATTAAGTCAAATTCAATTTTCAGATTTTTGGTGAACCTGGTTATCTTAATTTTTTTTATTTTGGAAGATTAAGAATTGACTAATTTTTGTGGGATCGATACATACTGTAGTTATTTGTTTGTGATAAATTCCTTACCAGTGAACAAAACATTAATTGTCAGGAACAGAGGATAATAATTACATTTTATAGATTAGCAACTGTGATTCATAGTTGCTGAATGATTTACTTGATGCATCCTGTAAGTAACATACAGAGCTAGCAATATAAGTACAATTGAGTATCTAATCTAGACTCAGACTTCTTAATATTCAGCTTAAAGTGTAAAGTTATTTTCAAAGTGTTTAAATTTGTTTTATTTTTTAAGAATATTAATATGAGACTTTAGGAAGTTAATTAAGGTCATAATTTTACCTTTAAAGCTGAGTGGTCTAATAAATATGAACGTCAACTAATATTTTTTTTTAAAGGAAAAGATTCTGACCTCTTGCAGAAATGGGAATTTTCTCTGTTTAGTAAAAAGATAATGGAAAATATTAAACTAACTTTCATAAATTAGCAGTAAGAAATTTGGGATTGCTGCTACAAAATTTAAAGTGAAAAGTGAAAAGTTAAATATCTAACTATTAATATATTGGCAACAATAAATCCACAGATAACCAATTTCCTTTAAGTATCTGAAAACTTTTGCAGTGATATCAGAGTGGTTTGTTAAAATCTGATGGGACTATCTCTTATTGCTTGTCTAGATGAATAACAGCTCCAAGGTAATAGTCTTTGATATTGTCATCTAGGTGATGTATTGTAACACTAACAGAACTTCACCTTGTGAGACTAGTTTTTCATTTGCTCTTTACATAGCTAAGCATTAATACAGAGGCTGGAGAAAGGAAGTCACTTAACAGATTCATTTATATTTTATATTATATTGTCAAAAAGTCATGTATCATTAGCCACTACTTAGTAGAGAACCACTTTTGAAATTTTAGTTCTTGTTCTTAAAACATCTCATTCTCGCCATAAAATAAGATATAAGCAAAACAGAAACATAGAAATAATATAGAAGAGTAATTTTAGAATAACATTAGACCCTAGAGATCACAGGCCATTTTTAGGTGCCTAAAATGAGGCAGTTTAGTGAGAAAGATATCACATAGCTGGTTAGCAGCAGATCACCTTTTAGTGTAGCAAACTTTTCACCTCTTATTTCTGTGCCTAAAATGAATTAGAGTTGGATTCATGGGATGGGAATAAGTTTTGAAAATCTTATTTAACTTTGTCATTGGTTAAAAAGTCAACTTCTAGGAACACGTGATTGAAATCATATTATACATCTATATACATCAAGAGCTTTAAAAAGAGAATTCTGTTAGTGACAGCATATCTCTGGAATAAAATTTCTTCAAAATATAGACTAGTCAGTTTCTTGCTATGTGATTTGCTTCTGCGGTTATTTTTAAAGGAAATGAGAATATCTTGGGAGTGATTATTTATTTAATAGTTATTTTTAAAGACATGATTAGCTTGTAGCATTGTTCTTTAATTTTTCTGTTGAATACTGGTTACACACTAATAGCCCAAGTACATCTTTTGTTAGCAGTTATTCTGTGTTTAAATAAAAGTGATGTGGAATAATAACATCTCAACCAATTGAACACTTGTATTATTTTTAATTAAATTCAACTCTTTTCATAGATGTAGAAATTATTTAATTATTTAAGTAAAATTCTAGGGTACAGACAGTTTACATGAGAGTTTGTTTGGAAGTTCTAACAAGGGAACTCCATCTTCTCTTAATCAAAGCAGATCATTCTGAATGTGAAAAGTTCAGTGTCTTGAATTAAGAACTTCACTTTGGAAATGATGCACGTGGAAGAGAAAGGAAGGCAGAATCAAGCCAAGTCATCCTCACGTCTAGTTTGTTGAGTAGATAAAAGTGTTGTGAAGATACTACTGGTTTATTTAAGGCCCTGCAAGTCATGATGATAGGTCATTCTGTTAATTGTCTCATTTCTCAGTTTGTAATCTTGGAAATCTTATTATCTTTTGGGTAAAAGTCTTATAGAGAGCGTATCCCACCCATAACAAGAGTCCTAAGGATTTAGTGCAGGATTTAGTGTCCATTCCCTATCTGTTTAACCTAAGCCTAGATTTTTAGTTTTTCTATATCTTTGTTTCCCCTCCTCCAAAATGGAGCTTTGTTATATTTTCTTGGTTTTTGACAGCTTTACTTTAAAACTTCTCATAAATTATTTTCCTTAGCTATGTCATATTCATGAGGTTTAAAATAAAGTCACCAGAGAAACCTTGTGATATCCTTTTCTTTAAGATCCCTGCCAGTGTGTAGTACTCTTGCGTGAGGGAGGTCTGGCAACTATACCTCTCATTTTTAAATTATGGAATGATCTCAATTAATAGAAGCCAAGGAAAATTATTTGAGACTAGAAACCTTTTAGGGAGGTAAATTTAGAAAGGTTAATATGGGAAAAGTTTGGATTACGGAGTAAGTTTTAAAGATTTTTCTAGATTCTAAGCAAGCAATGGGAAAAACTTAACTTTGCATCTCATTCCCACTTGTTTGTGGTGCAAGGAGAGCTTGGGTCCTTAACTATTTGTATGATAATAGTAATCACAGTAGTAATAATTGTTAACATCTGTCCTACGCTATATACTATTTGCTGCACATACGTTATGTCATCTAATCCTCACAATAGTGTTATCATGTAGGTACTACCGTTATTATCAAATATATTGTGGAAGAAACCCAGACTTCGAGAGTGAAGTTAAGTCATTTGCTTAAGATCGCATAGCTAGAAAGTGATCTAATTCAGGTCTACCTGATTCAAAAGCCCGTATTCTTAACCACTAGGCATCCTGTCTCCTCTCCAAATGACTGACAAATTGATAATAAAAAAATTGCCCTAAATACAAACTGTATTGAGACACTGTTCCAGGAGCTTTTTTAACTTAAGAAGAGAGGGGGCAAAGGGCAGTGATGGGGAGAGATTGAGAGGAAGAAGGGAAATTATAAATATTCCTATATATAGATTTCTGTTTGTTGGTAGTAAGATTTGATTTTTAAAGGGAAATTTGAGTTATATAGATATTTGAGTAAGGATTTATAGATACTTTTGTATTTTTATTTATATATAGACAAAGGTAAATATTTTTATCGGTAATATTTGATACTTGTAATCTACCATGCAGACATCTTGATACTAGATTGTCATTGAACTGTTACTGTAAAAAGATACTAATTTGATTTTTAAAATTCAGATTTTTATATGCATTGCAATTAAGTTGATCTGTTTTGTGCTGATTTGCCAACTGGTTTGTTTAACAAATATTTATTGAATGCCTACTGTGAGCCAAGCATTATGTCAAGTGCTAGAGATCGATTTAAAGACAAATAAGACACAATCTCTGCCTTAGTGACCTTACCACCTAATATGGGAGACAATCCAGTAAACAGATAATTATAAGGATAAGTAAGCATAGGGTGCTAATCCAGCACATAGGGGGGAACTGACCCACTGTGGAGATGACACATGGCTTACAAGAAGAGGAGGCCTTTAAAATATTCTGAATGATGAATAGGAGTTACCTATCGTGATATGTAGGCTTTCTATTGGTTGATTAACAATAAATATATTATTAGAAATACCAGGGGAATCTTTTTAAAAATACCAATGCCTGTGCCCTCCCCTAAAGATTCTGATTATTTAGTTTGGGTGGAGCCCAGGCATGAGTATTTTTTTGTGTGTGTGTGAAGAAGATTAGCCCTGAGCTAACATCTGTTGCCAATCGTCCTCTTTTTGCTGAGGAAGATTGGCCCTGGGCTAACATCTGTGCCCATCTTGCTCTACTTTATATGGGGCACTGCCACAGCATGGCTCGACAAGCGCTGTGTCGGTCCGCGCCCAGGATCTGAACCTGCGAACCCTGAGCTGCTGAAGCAGAGCACGCGAACTTAACCGGTACACCACCGGACCAGCCCCCAGGCATGAGTATTTTTAAAAAGCAGTCCAGTTATTCTTATGGGCTGCCATGGTTGAGAACCACTCAAATCTCATTTCAGACATTGCTCCTAAATTGGTGCTTGCTGACCAGAATACTTTCGATGTTGCTAGAGAGAAGCTTTTACTGGGGAAGGGAAGATTTGAGATAAATAAATAATTAATTCAAAACGAGGAAGCACAGATTTTAACATATAAAAGCAAATTTTTCTACGTTAAGATTGAACAATTTTCCTAGGTAATCATTCCAGACAACTGAAGAAAGTATTAAGATGTCTTTCATATCCCCTTTAAAAATATTAGGAGTACAGAATGGTTCCCATGGACCTTCTACTCAAAGTCCTGCATAGAAATATTAATACTAATATAAGATACACACAAAAGAACATTTGTTCATGAACAGACACATGATTACCCAAATCTGAAAGATTAGAATGGTAAATGCCTGAAGGACTTTTCAAGGATTGGTGACTAGAAGAGAGCAGATTAATGATAGTTAGAGGGGAGCTTTATGGCCTTATAGATGAGAATGGTTGGGTAGAAGATTATGAATGATTAGTGAATGTAGGATTCTAATTGATGATATTTACGTATAGGATAGACCACACATTGTTTGATTTCTTTGAAGTATCCCTATCAAGAGGAGGAGAAGGGTTGTGTTACTTTTTTCTATTTTTCTAGGTAGAGAAAGATTTAGAATGCAACTGGTGATGTTTAAATTAATGCTTAACTAGAACCACAAGGAAGGTTTTCTGTGTGCTATCTAAAAGACTATATTAGAATAGAGGATATTAAACTGCAAAAGATTTTTTAGTGTCTAGCTCCTTTTTATTTTATTTAGTTTGATTTTATTGTTGAGAAAACTGTAATCCAGATCCATTAAATAAATTGCCCAAAGTAACAACACTAGATAAAGGTAGAACAGGACCAGATTTAAGGCTTTTTGATTCTGAGGTCAGTACGCTTTCCACTGTGGCACACTATGTTGCCTTTTATTTTTCAGAATTGTAATCTTCTTGCATTTTGAATTTTCTAGTCTAGTTTTCTTTTATTTTGTATTACAATTTGTCTCCTGAAGGTCAAGTAACCTGGTTTGGTTATGAGAGTCCTCGTAGCTTCTGGGACTATATCAGAGTGGCTTGCCGGAAAGTTGCACAGAATTGTATCTGCAGCATTGAAAATATGGAAAATGTCAGTTCCTCTAGAGCTAAGGTAAGACATAAATAATAATATGTAATGTGTATAATCTAATCCTAAACAATTTTGACCCAAATAAAAAATTTTGAACTCTTTGCTATATAAAATATTTTTCTTTTCTTTGTTGGAATTAAGCGCTTGAGCAAATTTAACATCTTTCAGAGGCTTGTGTCCATTTTTTTTTTTTTTTATTGCATGTAGTTACTTTAGAATGCTCTTGAATCTTCACTGTTGCCTTATGAATAGCAGGAAGGTAGAAAGCTAGTCACTATGAATTTCTTTTTTAAGAAGCACAATGGTGGGTAAAATTGGTGGTGCCTTAGCACAAATAAAAGCAGTGGCATCAAGCTATACTAGTAGTCATTGAGTTCCTACCCACCATGCACTCAGTCTAAAAAATTAAAAAGCTGGTTTCACTTAAGAGTGTCCATGATGATGCAGTAAACATTATTAATTTTATTAACTCTCAATCCTTGAGTCCCCATTTTTTTAATATTCTGAGTGACAAAATGGGAAGTATGCATAAAGCATTTCTGCAGCATATTGAAATATGATGGTTGCCTCAAGGAAAAGTACTCATGCAGTTATTTGAATGTGAGCTGAACTAGACGGTTTTGTTAGATATCTAATACTATTTTTACTTGAAAGAAAAAAATACAAACTAGTTTTTGTACTAAAAGTACAAAACTAGATAGTTTTTTAGACTTAGGCATTTGGTAGACATTTCTTGAATAAAAATAGAATGAAGTGAGCCTGTTACTTCCAGGAAAGCAGCTGACAGTATTTGTTGCTGATGGTAAAATTAAAGCTTTCAAATAAAAATTAGAATTTTGGAAAATTTGTATTCACCATCTTAAGCTTGATAGCTTCCCTTCCCTCCAATGATATCAGCTTTTCTGAAAACATTGATGTTGATATTAACAAATGTATTTTTTAATTGTTTAATGAAATGTGTCAACATTTGGTAGATGTACATAACTCATATTTTCCAAATGACTGATGTGTGGAATTATAAAATCATGCATGAGTAAAAGATCCAGTCAAAGTGCAAGATAGACCAGTGGATTTAATGTAATACAGTATGAAAAATTGAATGATATGGTTATATTCTATGTTTTAACTAATCTTTAAGAAATTATCACTTACTGAGTTTTGATGTATAATCAAAGGAGAATATCCACAATTATCTGAAAAGGCTATTAAATGATTCCTTTTTCCAACTATGTATCTGTATGAGGCTAGATTTTCTTCATATGCTTCAACTAAAATAATGCATTGTAACAGATTGAATGCAAAAGCAGATATATAGTTCTCTTTCATTAAACCGTACATTAAAGAGATTTGAAAAAATGTAAAACAGAGCTACTTTTCTCACTATTATTTTTGTTTAGGAAAACATAGTTATTTTTCATAAAAATATGTTATTTATGTTAACATATAATGGGTTTATTATTTTTTTTAATTACCTAACATTTTAAAAGTTTCCAATTTTAACTTATAGTACAGTAAATATGGATAGATGTAGCCTATATAAAAGCTCTTTGGGATCTTTAGTGTTTTTAAAATTGTGAAAAGTCTGAGCTGCTGATATAAGCCATATCAGCTTTAGTTTAGGAGTTTTATTTATTTATTTTATTGGATTTTCATAGTAGCTTTCCTTACTGTTTTTGACATTTAAGAATTACAGAATGAAACATAAGTGGAAAATGGAGATTGGAAATAGATATGTACAGTTTTATGATTGACATAATTCAATTCATTATTTCACAATTATAAACTTATAAATTACATGTCTGTATAATAAACAAAAATATAACAATCATCTTTCAAAAGTGTAGTTTCTAAGTTTATTGTTCTTATATCCAATTTTTTTTTTTTTTTGGCTGAGGAGGAGTTGCCCTGAGGTAAGAGCTGTTGCCAATCTTCCTCTTTTTTTTTTTTTTTTTTTTTGTGAGGAGGATCAGCCCTGAGCTAACATCCATGCCAATCCTCCTCTTTTTGCTGAGGAAGACTGGCCTTGAGCTAACATCTATTGCCAATCCTCCTCCATTTTTTTCCCCCTTTTCTCCCCAAAGCCCCAGTAGATAGTTGTATGTCATAGTTGCACATCCCTCTAGTTGCTGTATGTGGGATGCCACTTCAACATGGCCAGACAAGTGGTGCATCAGTGCACGCCTGGGATCCGAACCAGGGCTGCCGCTAGTGGAGCACGCGCACGTAACTGCTAAGCCACGGGGCTGGCCCCTTCCTCTTTTTTTTTGCTTGAGCAAGATTCACCCTAAGCTAACATCCATGCCAGTCTTCCTCTGTTTTATGTGGGACGCCACCACAGCATGGCTTGACAAGTGGTGCATCGGTGCACGCCCGGGATCCGAACCTGCGAACCCCAGGCCGCCAAAGCGGAGCATGGGCACTTAACTGCTATGTGACCAGGCCAGCCCCCTTAAACATTTTTAAATTCATAATATGGAAGTGTATCTTTGGATAAGGTTTATAACTAGATTTTTGTCACCTTTTGAAGACCTAGGCTGAAGCTGTAGAGTTCACTTTCTGAAACCACTGATCCCTCCTTCATTGCCTCCTGCCAGTCTCCAACCAAGGGGTTGTCTGAGCAACAGTTAACTTTCTGCTTCAGTACCTTCTAACACTTTTAGATGGAATTGGTTTTCCATTCCGCCTCATGCTTTTTTTTTAAGCTAATAAATTCCTTCATCTTTAAGTCAATTATAGCTAAATTTTTTTAATTAATAATTTTTTTCTCATAGATGTTTAAATCTTGTTTTTTTATTGTATATTAAAAGATTTTAGTCACAACTATTGTCTCAGGAGTCCTTTAGGTTCCATTTTCTTAAACTATTCAACTTATTTATGCATTTACTTTTTAATTGATTGACTACAGGTTTAAAAAATGCAATTTGAATTCTCCTTTGAATCTTAGTTGAATTTGTGTCAGTTTTCCTTATTGTTTAAGAATAATATCTTGGTTTCTGTTGGTTAAGATTAAAAGACTAGCTGTAATTTGGATGAGTCAAGTCTATAAAAATAGATAACATTCCAGGTGGTACATAAACTTTATTTTCAAATTAAAAGTAGATGAGATCAACCTGACAAGTATATTCTAAACCCCTTCAATAATGGAGAGAATATATTTACAGAACTAGCATATCCCCAAATACAAAAGTAATTGAGAAGTCAATAAACATAAAAATGTAGCATTTGAACCTGGGTGGACCAAAGAAACCCAAACCCTAGGTGACCACCTCTTTAATGAGGCTCTTGGGACTAGGCCCTGCACAGCAAGATGCTGTCCAGCAGAGAGAATTAATATTTATTCTGTAAAAAACCAGTGTTGTGTAGCAAAACACAACGGAACAATCATGTTCCAAATCCTACATTTATATTTTTGTTTTGCTCAGGCATCCATTTAATGGGGAAGGAGATCTGTGATTTGCCTGGTTATCCTGGGAAAAGTCTGTAGGCAAAGATTACCTCTGTCTTTATTCATTGCAGTGGGAAGAGCAAAGTACTTAATCTACTCAGTAAATCTCACCTGCCAAGTGTCAAGATTGAAAGATTAAGCAAATACCTCAGATGACAGGTTTATTGAGCCTTTGAGTTGCAGTGTGGAGTGACTGATAACATACATAGCACTCTTATCCAGTCTTGACACTTGTGAAAACATATCAGAACTGAAGCCTCAAACTTACATGCTAAAAAAATGTGCAACTCAGTACACTTGGGACCAAAACAGATCTTCATTTTTGAACTCTGTATAAGAAGCCAGATTCACTCTAAAATACACCTTTAGGGTGATGTGGATGACATTTTAAGCAATGGAAGACAAGATGCACTATGGAGCAATGCCTAACTCAGTATAGAAACATTCTTTGAATTTAGTTGAGTTGATTGAATCAGGATTGTGTCCTAGTACCACTGTACAACTTAGATTCATATCGTAGAAACTTGCCCCCATGGGATATCTGGTGCTTAGTCACTCTAAGCTAAGATGTATGAAATGCAGACGATTCCCTTTCTTTGCTTAGCCTGTGACTAGTTGAGCCTATTTTCCAGGGCCTAACCACAGCCTAAGAGTAGAATAGAGTATTTGAATTGCAGATCATGTCAGTAATCTTTCCATCTCAGACATATTTGCAGCTATTCTTTCTACAATATGCAGGGGTTCTGGGACATGGGGTTTCTATACATCAACTTACTTAGATTTCACACTAGAATTAGCACTCAGAAAAATAACTTCATCTCAACAGGCACTTATTTCTCAACAGGTGCTTATTTCATTGCCTTCTGAACTCACCTGTCTTCCCTATCTACTATTTGGCCAATTACTTATAAGCATAATATATGATCTCTGACAGAAACCCCCTAATAGGGTCCTTAGTTACTATTGCTTTTGATCTTGCAGATATTTCCATTGGATTTTCCTAGTATTCCAACTGATTTTAAACTCAGGAAATCCTTTTTCCTTTTTCATTTTTTTAAAATATTGATTGATTGATTGGTGAGGAGGATTGGCCCTGAGCTAACATCCATTGCCAATCCTCCTCTTTTTGCTTGAGGAAGATGGTCCCTGAGCTAACGCCTATGCCAATCTTCCTCTACCTTTTTGTATATGGAATGCCACCACAGCATGGCTTGATGAGCAGTATGTAGATCCGTGCCCGGGATCCAAATCCACGAAGCCCGGGCCGCCGAAGCAGAGGTGAACTTAACCACTACACTATTGGGCTGGCCCCTCATTTTTTATTTTTTTGACCTCAAAGTATGAGCTCTGTGCTATTCTTGAGTTCTTCCTACCTTCCTGCATATCTTGTGTGTTTTTTTTCTTTTTCTTTATTTTTAAGAACAGTTCTTATTTTTGGCTAAGTTAGGCTTTCCTAGTTTGTGGTTGCTTACCCTGTACATTCCTTCTATTATTGAATTTAACATATTAGACCAATTTCTGAATATACTAGTCACTTCAGCCATCCATGTATCCATGCATCCTCCATCCAGTAAAT